TTCAGGGGTGAACCAACGGAAGGAAGACCTTTCTCTCTGTTTCTCTCACTGTCTGTAGAACTCTGCCTATAAATTAAAAAACAAAAAACAAAAACAAACAAACAAACAAAAAAAAACTTGGCTTTCTTATAAATAGGTCATTTTGAAGGACCATCAACAGATGATAAGGTCAGGATGTTGGCCTTCATTTCCCATCAATCCTTGTTTTTTGAGAGAATGTTGAGGCACTACAGATCCTGCCCCAGACAGCCCAGCACATCAGGGCAAATGCAGTGTTGGTGTTTTTTATACCTGCTAACTTTGCTAACTTCATTTGAATTGCAAAAGTCCAGCATATTTAGCCAAGATCCAACACTGCCAATCTCCTAAGTCCTTTTGTCCCTTTCCTCTGGAAAGAGGAGGAATTCGAGCAGGAGCCAGCTACAGTGCTGATGTATGAGAATGAACTGTGACATATGAGAATGAATTGCAGGTATGTCAGCAACCCTGGGAGCCAGAACAAAAATCACCATACGGGTGATCTGCAGATGAGGAAAGGGTGAACCAGATAGCAAAGGCATATCAAAGACCTACACTTACAATGATCCTGCAACATCCAGTTTAAGAGAAACCATTTATAAAATTCACCATCTCATTCCAAGGGTTACCTATTTACCTGGCGTATCAATGGCCAACAGATCATTGAGATCTAACCAGCATTTAGTCTCTCCCAGTGCATTAAAAATAACCAACAAGTTACTCCAAAGACTTTGCTGATATTCTATGACCATATATGTGCCAGTAACCTCTAAGAGCCTATCATGAATTTGTAATCTATTTGAGAAAAGAGCAACCCCTCAGGAAAGAGTAGGGAACCATTAGGCACTTTCCCATACCTAAGAGAATAAATAATGTTCAGTACTTCCCAAAGAACGGGTATCAGTTTCTTGCGGCTGCTGTAACAAATTACCACAAATTTGATGGCTTAAAGCAACAAAAATGTACTTTCACAATCCTAGAGGCCAGAACTCCAAAATCAAGGCCTCAGCGGGACTGCACGTCCTGCCAAGGTTCTCGGGAGAATTCCGTCTTTGCCTCTTCTCTTTCTGGTGGCTCCAGGCATTCCTTGATTTGTAACCACACCATTCCAGTCTCTGCTTCTGTGGTCACAACTGCCTCCCTCTCTTCTCTGTGTGTCAAATCTTTCTCTCTCTTTCTCTTAATAAGGATATTTGTAATTACATTTAGGACCCACATATGTAATCCAGGGTCATCTCATCATTTCAAAACCCTTAATTTAATTTCCTTTGCAAAGACCTTTTTCCAAATAAGACAACAGTCACAGATTCCGGAAATAAGGACACAGTCATATCTCGGGAGGGAGCTGCTGCATTTTTCAACCTTCCCCTTCCACATCCTACTGTGAACAGAAGTTCACAGTTTACTGCAGGATGTAGTGGTCAGAGTTTGCCTCCCATCTCTGAGATGATGGATCTTGGGAGGCAGAAAACGGCTAAAATTTAAACTGGCAGGTACAAGCTGGGCAATGCAGAGGGAACAGCAGGTGCAAAGAACAACTTATGTTTTCAGTAAAGGAGGTCTGAGGCTGTATGTGGCACTCATGGGGCGTGACTGTTACTGCTCACAAGACCTTGATGGGGGCACGGAGTAATGAGCCAGGTTCATCAGATTCGGCAGTTAGCGTTGAAGCACAAGTAAAGAAGCCCAAACTTGATGTACAAGGCAACACAAAATCTTTAATGCATCATGGGAATTAATGATCTAGGGTTCTAAAGTAATCACCACATTTTTCCAGCATGTACTCTTTCATTTCTTCCATCTCATTTAGCAAAGTCTCAGCCACTAAAGTTTATTTTCCTAAATTACATTTTTTGTAAACATTAATAACAATTCAGCATAATTCCCATAATGGGAAGTTTTTGCTACTGGACTTAGTCATTTCTATTAGAAAAAAATTTTAAAAATAAAATAAATTATATATGTACATATACATAAATATATTTCCATTACTTGGCTTGAAAGGCTCTCTTCATAAGCAGTTATTTATACATCTGGCTCATAATAAAATCATATCATGCAAATGAACTGGGTTGACTCAGAGATGAAATTCTGATTATAACAATATGGGGGCTCTGCAATATTCCATTAGGGCGAAAGGAAATGCTAGTCAGCAATCCACCAGGAAAAACTATTTTGGTCCATAAATTATGCAGCTTTGTGTTTATTCAATTAAGTTAATCCTAAATGAATCCTTCTGTGAAAACTCTATGTAAACACTGTGACATCCAAAAGGAAAGCAATGTCGAGGGCTGCCTGCAAGGAGGGCTGCCCACTGGATGCGCCCCACCGTGACGTTTGCTCATGCGCTTGACTCCACAGACATCTCCAACAGTGTGAGATCAGCTTTAATAAAAACTCCGTCTGGCTCCAGGGCCACGCAAATCCAGGTGAGGCCTCACAAGTCCTTAAAAGTTGATTGTTTGGGGCTGCAGCAACACCAAAATTTGATGGAGGTTTTATTAAATCTGTGAGCACTTTAAGAAGACATATTTTAAAAGGCAGTATGGAGCATGGGGAGGGCTGCCTTGTGGGCTCATATTGAAAGCCCTGTGGTCATATGGGGATTCGATGAGCAATTGTCTCTTTTCATGACTCTGCCCTGAGTAGGGCAAGTCAAAATTGGAGTCTGTACACCCATGTGCATTGCTACAATTCCATTTCTGCATTAATAGTAAATAATTGACTTACCAGGGTTAAAACTAACTGCTATGAGAACTTCTGCACTTCAGGAAAAAGACTCACTGCTCTCTCTCTGTGTAGCGTGCCTTGGGCCTGGTCTCCTTCTCTAGGCTGGATGACAATGACCTGGAAGCTCAGAGTTGGCTTTCTAATTGATAGAGCTGGGAGGTTCCATGATCCAAACTCAGCCTACCCTTCCTTATCTAGCACCAAAGTCAACACTGACACGACAATTTGGTTACTTTGAAAAGTAAGTGGTAACAACCAACCCAGTCAAGAAAGGGGCAAAGGACCTAACGGACAATTCGCAAAAGATTAAACATAAGTGGACAACAAATATATGAAAAAATGCTCAATATCACTAGCTATCAATCAGGCAAATGCAAATCAAAGACACAGTGAGATATCTTTTATCTCACCCCTGTCAGAATGGCTATTATCAAAAGAAAAACAAATACTGGTAAGAATGTGGAGAAAGAATTATTAAACATTGTTGGTAGGAATGTAAATTAGTACAGTCACTGTGGAAAGCAATATGGAGATTCTTTAAACAATTAGAACTCAAGGCCAGCGCCGCGGCTTAATAGGCTAATCCTCCGCCTAGCGGCGCTGGCACACTGGGTTCTAGTCCCGGTCGGGGCGCTGGATTCTGTCCCGGTTGCCCCTCTTCCAGGCCAGCTCTCTGCTGTGGCCAGGGAGTGCAGTGGAGGATGGCCCAAGTGCTTGGGCCCTGCACCCCATGGGAGACCAGGAGAAGCACCTGGCTCCTGGCTCCTGCCTTCGGATAGGCGCGGTGTGCCGGCCGCAGTGTGCTGGCCGCGGTGGCCATTGGAGGGTGAACCAACGGCAAAAGGAAGACCTTTTTTCTGACTCTCTCTCTCTCTCACTGTCCACTCTGCTGAAGAGATAAAAATAGAACCACCTCAAGCTACTCATATCAATCCCATCCCATTATTGGATATATACCCATTACTGGGTATATACTCAAAAGACATAAACTCCTATCAAAGAGATGGTTGTGTGTATGTGGTACATATACACAATGGAATATTATTTGACTATTAAAAAGAATGAAATTCTGTCATTTGCAGCAAAATAGATGGAACTATGGGATAACATGTGGAATGAAACAAGCAAGACACAGAAAGACAAACATGGCATATTCTTCCTTATATTTGGGAGCTAAAATTGAAAAACACAAAAACTCAACCTGGACACATAATGTTGATAACTGGAGGCTGGATGAAAGGCAGGGATAAAATATTTTGTATGAAAAATGTAGGAGAAGATAAGTGAGTTTATAAAATGTGACAAAGTGACTAATTTGAGATAGTAATAGAGAAAATGGGAGGAGAGGTTATATTAAACCTCTTTGTTTTACTACTTCATAATTTTTGTTTTGTAAATTTAAAATCATTCTGAAATAAAAGGTTTGAAAAGGAGAGTAGGAGGTTTTCAAAGGCCAAAAATTCTTGTAGATTTTCAAACTAGAAAGGAAAAGGCCACTGAAACATCCTACAGGTTCTTTTTTATTTTAAGATTTATTTATTTATTTGAACAGAGATACAGAAGAAAAGGAGAGAGAGAGAGAGAGAGAGAGATCTTCCATCTGCTGGCTCATTCCCCAAGTGGCCGCAACAGCTGGGCAGGGCCAGACCAAGGCCAGGAGCCAGGAGCTTCACCCAGGATTCCTACATGGATGTAGGGGCCCAAGGACTTGAGTCATCTTCTGCTTTCTCAGGCACATTAGTAGGAAGCTGGATTGGAAGTGGAGCAGCTAGAACTTGAAGCAGCGCCCATATAAGATGCCAACACTCCAGGAGGAGGCTTGACCTTCTACACCACAGTGCCAGCCCCTACAGGTTTTAATTTCTCAAAAAATGTCAATCTGTATTAGAAATGTAAGCAAAAAGCTTTTGGGGTCATTTTTGTTTATTCAAGCAGAAAGTTTCTTGGAAAAAACTGCTGTGGAGAGTCTAGCAGTGATGGGTCCATTTCTTGTTCTGACACATAAGGATCCATTGTTATGTAATTCCAATCTCCTATGTAAGTTTCTGGCTGGGTCTAGGTTTTGTGTTTTTTCTTTTTTGCCTATGAAGTTCTTTGGTGATGATTTGTAAGATTTGGACCAAACTAGCTGTGTTTCCCTTGTTTTTTTTTTTTTTTTTTTTTTTTTAACTTTAATTTAGCAAATATAAATTTCCAAAGTACAGCTTATGGATTACAATGGCTTTTCCCCCCCATAACTTCCCTCCCACTCGCAACCCTCCCAACTCCCACTCCCTCTCCTATTCTATTCACATCAAGATTCATTTTCAATTATCTTTATATACAGAAGATCAACTTAGTATATACTAAGTAAAGATTTCAACAGTTTGCACCCACATAGAAACACAAAGTGAAAAATACTGTTTGAGTACTAGTTATAGCATTAATTCACACCGAACAACACATTAAGGACAGAGATCCTACATGAGGAGTAAGTGCACAGTGACTCCTGTTGTTGACTTAACAATTTGACACTCTTGTTTATGACGTCAGTAATCACCCTAGGCTCTTGTCATGAGTTGCCAAGGCTATGGAAGCCTTTTGAGTTTGCCGACTTCGATCTTATTTAGACAATGTCATAGTCAAAGTGGAGGTTCACTCCTCCCTTCAGAGAAGGTACCTCCTTCTTTGATGGCCCATTCTTTCTTTCTTTTTTTTTTTTTTTTTGACAGGCAGAGTTAGACAGTGAGAAAGAGAGACAGAGAAAGGTCTTCCTTTGCTGTTGGTTCACCCTCCAATGGCCACCACGGCCAGCACGCTGTGGCCGGCGCAACGCGCTGATCCAATGGCAGGAGCCAGGTACTCATCCTGGTCTCCCATGGGGTGCAGGGCCCAAGCACGTGGGCCATCCTCCACTGCACTCCCGGGCCACAGCAGAGAGCTGGCCTGGAAGAGGGGCAACCGGGACAGAATCCAGCACCCTGACTGGGACTAGAACCCAGTGTGCCAGTGCCGCAAGGCAGAGGATTAGCCTAGTGAGCCGCGGCGCTGGCCTAATGGCCCATTCTTTCTATTGGGATCTCACTCAAAGAGATCCTTCATTTAGGTGTGGTGTTGTTTTTTGTTTGTTTGTTTGTTTGTTTGTTTTTTGCCAGAGTGTCTTGGCTTTCCATGCCTGAAATACTCTCATGGGCTCTTCAGCCAGATCCGAATGCCTTAAGGGCTGATTCTGAGGCCAGAGTGCTGTTTAGGACATCTGCCATTCTATGAGTCTGCTCTGTATCCCACTTCCCATGTTGGATCATTCTTTCCCTTTTTGATTCTATCAGTCAGTATTAGCAGACATTAGTCTTGTTTATGTGATCCCTTTGACTCTTAGTCCTATCGTTATGATCAATTGTGAACTGAAATTGATCACTTGGACTAGTGAGATGGCATTGGTACATGCCATCTTGATGGGATTGTATTGGAATCCCCTGGCACATTTCTAACTCTACCATTTGGAGCAAGTCAGCTTGAGCATGTCCCAAATTGTGCATCTCCTCCCTCTCTTATTCCCACTCTTATATTTAACAGAGATCACTTTTCAGTTAAATTTAAAAACCTAAGAATAATTGTGTGTTAACTACAGAGTTCAACCAATAGTATTAAGTAGAACAAAAAAATATACTGAAAGGGATAAAGTATTAAGTTGTACATCAACAGTCAGGACAAGGGCCGATCAAGTCACTCTTTCTCATAGTGTCCATTTTATTTCATCAGGTTTCCTTTTTGGTGCTCAGTTAGTTGTCTTTATCAGTTTTGTTCTTGTTCTTGTATTCTATTGTGTCTGTTGTTTTTCACTTTTTGTATTTATTTTCCTTATATAGTTCCTCATTTTTTGTTTTCTTTTTTGGTGTCAATTCTTTTGCTTATTTTCCATTGTTGTCTTCATTTTCTCATTTTCCATTTCTTGTGTTTATCTCATTTCTTGTTTTTCTCGTTTTCAATGCTTCTGTTTAGATCCGACTATTAGACCTACTGATTAGCATCATTAGTGTACTTAATTCGGTCAGTGTTTTCTATTCAGTTTGCTCATTTTTTGTGTTTTTTTTTTTTATTTCAACCATGTTAGTTGTCATGGTGATAGTATGGTGTAGTTAATGAAGTTAGTATTACCTGTAATATTAGCACAGTTATTATTAATTTTCATTTGTTTCACAGTTATCATACCTAGTGTAGTTGATTGGTTATGTTACAAGTGCTTTACAGACAATAGTGAGCTGGGTTCTACCACAATAGAAGGGTTCATGACCTTCCACCACAAGGAGGCCCTCAGTGGACGCCAGCTCATTGGGACCATTGGCCAGGGCAGCCAATGTAACCAATCATCTGCAAAGTTAAACTATAGTGGCCCTGAAAGTCATCCCAAGAGAACACAGGGGCTCTTCCAGCTTCCAGCAAGTGTGGGTAGAAGTGGACACAGTGAGGGGCATACATCACCCACACATAAAAGGCTGTTGCAGATAAGGCAAGACAGAGCATATGGGACAACAACTTTCTGCGTTTCATGGGACACTCCCCAGCCCCACCAGGTACTGCGACCCCGAAGAGTTCCTGCATGAGGAATTCAATGGTGACAAAGCAGTCATCGGGAGCCTGGGGGTGGTCTTGTACACTACAGTGACAGGGTCCCTGCTCCTTATTGAGAAGACCAGGGTGCAGCTGGAGGATAACATCCTGTCTGGATATTACCAGCTTCCACCTTAGATAAGCCTAGTGCTTGAAACACCTCCCAGAAAGAGTGCTGAGCGATGACCCCAGGGAAAAGCCCATAGTGGAAGACATTACGGGCCACCAGTGGCTCAACATGGGACAGAAAGAACCAGAAAGAAGTGAAGTGGCAAATGTGGAGCCTCAGGGATCTCCCCTGGATCCCGAGAACTAAGAATCCATGGCGGGCTTTCAGCTGGGCCATGAAGAAGGCTTCCTGACACCTAATCAATGTCCCTTGGGCTGTGCTGGGAGAAATCTCAGCAGAAGGGCTACACCTAACTGGAATTGACCTAAATCATGAATATGGAGCCTCCAGGTTCTCCTCAGGACCCCCAGATCTAAGAACATCTGGAGGGCCTGGGCTTTCAGCTGGGCCATAAGGAAGATTCCCTGACTTCCAGTCAACAAGGCAGCGCCTTACCCCTCAGGCTGCAGAGGGGCTACCCCAGGGTGAATTGACATGTAGGCCTCAGGCTGGTTGCTCCCCTCAAAGCCTGCTATTCCTCCGAGCCTCCCTGATGGCTTGGATCTCAGGAGGAGCATGCGTGGGCATGCGGTCCCCAGCTCCCAACCGCTACTACCTGAAGTGGACCAGTCGGCTGAGATGAAAGCCCTCAGAAGAGCCCGCACAACAGACTCTCCCCTACCTAGCATGGTGAGGCAGAACCCCACTCCCCAGACCAGCTCCGCAGCAAGGCCCTGTGGCCTCCCCTTCCACCGCAGCACCAGGAGCAGTGAGGGCCACCTGGAAGAAGGGAGCTGCTCCCAGACAGAAGAAAGTGTCCCAGTAAGGCGATGGTGCGGGTGCAAGGGGGCCCCTCCATCTCCTGTATGATGTTGTAATGTGCCAGCCCTAGGGACAGGCAAGGAAACTGGCTCCCTTGTAGCCTAAGTCAAGGGAAATTCTCCCAAGGAGGGGCCCTCAAGCTCAGCTGCCTGAGTTTTACTGTGTTTTATTTAGCATTTTGTTCATGATTCTCATGAATAAAAATCATAAGTGTATGAAAGAAAGAAAGAAAAAAAGAAAAGTGGTGACTCAAATAAGAGAAAGGAGGAAGAGGAGGTAACGGAACAGCTGGAAAACATTATCTCCCCCCAGACAACAAAGCACTCAATGCTGGTGGGCAGCTAACATTGCAGGGTTTTGAGAAAACAATAGGGAAAGCCCTTTGTGATGCCCAACCCCCAAATGTGGGCTATGTTCAAATTCCACAAAGCTAAGATGTTAAGTTGATGCTTTTGGATACCAAGAGAAACATTTTCAAAATGATAATATTCAGTGTAGTAATTTAACCTTTCTAAGCCATCTGGAAGACACAACAATTTGGAAATCACTAGTGGTAAACACGGGATCTTGTTTTTCTTTCTGCCACTACCATTTAAACTAAGTCAAGTCTACAGCCACTTGGAGCTGGTATATTTCTATTCAGAGTCTTGAAAAAAAGGGGAGGGGGGATAATAAATGCATGCTGGTTTCACAGGGAGATACGTGAAATATTTTTGGATGACTTCATCAATGAAAACCTCCCCCAAACTTTGGAAATATCAATGATCAATAAAAAGTGCTCTTCTGGAAAGTCTCCAAGTTATCAAACTGAGCAAGTATTTTTAGTTTACTTTGAATAGAGTGATGTGCAATTGTGGACCTTTAACTAAAGTTTATAGATCTCGTAAACATAATTACATAGTACCAGAAATTCCAGGTCTCAGGCTCGCAGCTCAATATTTTGTCACCACTGGGTTTGTCCAATTTTTCATAGCACAAAGTAAACAACAGAACTGACCCTTGGCCAGCACCGCGGCTCACTAGGCTAATCCTCCGCCTTGCGGCGCCGGCACACCGGGTTCTCGTCCCGGTCGGGGCGCTGGATTCTGTCCCAGTTGCTCCTCTTCCAGGCCAGCTCTCTGCTGTGGCCCGGGAGTGCAGTGGAGGATGGCCCAAGTGCTTGGGCCCTGCACCCCATGGGAGACCAGGATAAGTACCTGGCTCCTGCCATCGGATCAGTGCGGTGCGCTGGCCGCAGCGCACTGGTCGCGGCGGCCATTGGAGGGTGAACCAACGGCAAAGGAAGACCTTTCTGTCTCTCTCTCTCACTGTGCACTCTGCCTGTCAAAAAAAAAAAAAAAAAAAAAAAGAACTGACTCTCAGGTTGTTTAAAGTATGGTATGCATATGTACATAGCTGTTATGTATTTAAAGAATGCTTCTATGTACAGCTTAACTTAAAAACTTTATTCTCTGCACAGTAACGTAAAATGAAATGTCTCAGGGCAATTTGGACTAAAATTCTTCATACCAAGTTGCCAGTGACTATTCTTCTAGGAATATTCCTTTCAGAAACTAGTGAATCTCTGAGTGTTGCAGGAGTCAAGCCCTTCCGAAATGAAATAATGAAGCTGATGATTGGGCTGGGTACCACGATAGCCTTGGTCAAAGGTGGACATTGCACCTTTTTAAGGCACGAGAAGATTGTCAGATAACCTCAACTGCTTCCACCCCACTCTACGCCGATGACTTGCACCATCTTCTCTCAGTGTATTTATGTGTGTGTGCACACAGTTGAATACACAGATGTGCTGCCTGAGATCGGTGAGTGAGTCTTTGCACCTCTCTCTAATCTTGGTTTTCCTGAACAGGGGGATGAGGAGACAGATATGGTAAGCCCCAGAAGTCTAGTTCCTTGTTTTAAAAAATGTTAATAGATTTTGGGGCCAGCCTTGTGATGTAGCAGGTTAAACCGCTGCCTACAATTCCAACAGCCCATATGAACTGGATTTATGACCTGGTTGCTCCACTTGCAATCCAACTCCCTGTTAACATGCCTGGGAAAGCAGTGGATGATGGCTCAAATGCTTCAGTCTCTGCTACCTATGTGGGAAACTGGATGGAGTTCAAGGCCACTTGATTTTGCCTGGCCCAACCCTGGCTGTTTGTCATTTGGGGAGTGAACCAGGGGATGAAAGATTGTCTCTGTCTATCTGTCTCTCTCTCTCTCTCTCTCTCTCTCTCTTCTCTCAATATGACTCTACCTTTAAAATAAGTAAACTTTTAAAAAATGCTAGCAGATCTAGGTACCATGGTCATGGAAGCCATGAGCGCCTCCTTCATCTCACCTGTGACGCTTAAGGGCACTCTTACCCCAAGACAGCCTGTGACCAGAACGCAGGAGCTCGGCGGCCCGGTCGACCCACTCCCTCCACACTGGCTGGATTTGTCCTCACCAGCCTCACGTTACTCCGTTACTGGCTCCCCGCCTCTAGGCACATGCGCAGTGCGTATCATCACACTCACACGGGAGCTATCCGCAGGCGTCAAGAAAGCTTGGGAAGTGCGTTGGCGAAGCGGCCATCCTCCAGGTCTTGATGAAAGCTGCTGCAGGGCATGCTTGTCCCATAAGCTGGGGAGGCTCTCAGCCTCTCCCTCTGCGGGGGCAGTGACGTGGGAGGCAGACTACTGAGCGCCCAGGAACTCCTCGGAAGGCAAGAGGCATCAAAGCACGAAATCTGCCCTGCTCTGTGTGTGTTCTGCGTCTGCCTCTTTGCTCCAAAGTCTCACGATAAAACCTGTCCCCTGGCACCATCAGTGGGTGGGTCCTCATTTGTCTCACACTCCTGGGTCTTTACTGCTTCTTCTCTCCTCTCCAGTTCCAGTCTAGGTCACTGTTGCGATGGGCAAAGACAGAGGGACATGGGAAGAGGCACAGCAAACTTACTACTGTCCAAAATGACCCCTCCCCTGGTTCCTGTTGACTAATCTAAGCCTTCTTTTCGCTCCTGAACAGCTCCTACAACAGCTTTGATAAGCTCATAATCTAGTCAGCCTTTGTGACCACAACCACCTCTTCCCTGGGCTAATCATTGTCTCCCCCAGGTCATTTTTTTAGGCTACTGATCATTTGTCTCACTAATCTCTCTATTTGTTTCTGCAGCTAATAGCTGATCCCCAAATACCCGCTGTAATTTTCTAACAAGCAGAACTCCAATTCTCCATTAAGAAATCTTCCTCTAAAGTGTAATTAAAGATCATCTAAGAAAAACAGGGCTAATTTTGAACAACCTACAAGCGATTTTTTTTCCCTCTGCCAGAAGGAAGGGTGCTTAAGGGGAATTAAAAATCACTTTACAAAATTATAAACAGGTCTAATGCAACCATTTTGATCAACAGGCTTGTTATCAAGTAATATCTCTAAAATTAAGGACAGTGATTTTAAAAGGAAAGACTGAATAAAAATCTTCTGCTATTCGATAGGCATATCAGCCAAGCAATTACTAATTCTGTGTTTAACTATAGCCCTTTACATCAGCAATGAAAGCAAAACTTAGTTTGTGAGATCCTATTAAATTAGCATTGATTTTGTTTTACCACCGAGCTAAAAGAATATCAACATTAAGGAGTGTTTTTATAACCCTATGTAAAGTATGCACATACACTGAATTTAGTTCACAGGCTGTTTATCTCACTATTTACAATGAACCAAAACGGTTCGTCCCCAGCATAGCGTTTTTATATATGGCCATAGAAGAAAATATGGCTATTAACAAACTGAGAGTCCAACAAATAAAAGTAAAATTGAACCGTTTATTTAGTGTGGCATTATGCCTTTAGCTATAATGTAAATTAAAAATATATTACTCAAAAATAAATGCAGTTTTGAAGTTAAAAAGAAACAAAGCACTACTCTATTAAGTAGAGCACAAGACGGCCTCTACTGTGCAAATGCAAATCCACTAAAGTGTGATCCAACAGTACATGTTAGAAATTGCTGGCGTTTGAGTCATTACACAAAGGAAGGGCTCATTTAGAGGAAATGGTGACATATGCCAGTTATTTTCTCAATGCTGCTGATGTTTGTAAATATGTCTCATTGTTTAGAGGCAAAAGGAATATCACATGTATTTGATTAAATAGTAAATAAAGTACAGATTTCCTGTTTTTTTTTTTAAATCTGTTCAAATGAGAAATAAATGCAATCAGACCTTGAAACATAAAAATTCCAAAAGTTATGACAAAATATGGCACAGCGTTAGCGGAGGTGTTGAAACCACTCACCAAAGTCGTCATGGGGAGCTAAGTCTCACTGATACCTGCAAAGACGTATCACACCAGGTTTGTTACAAATGTGATAGCGATGTGTTGAACTTTGTTACTTTGCAAGAACCTGATATTTTTCATATTATGTGAATCTAAAATTGATGGAAAGAAGGACAGCTATTAGTCTTGTGTCAAAAGGCCTTTCCATAACAGAAATGTATTAGCCATTTGAGATTTAACCATAACCCTTGGGAACTCTCTAAGCACCTAGAAACAATTTCAAAGAGTAATATAACTTTAGATGAATTTTCCATATTCCATTTTTCTCTTACATACTTGTCTTAGGGTATGCTGAGCATCTCCAGAGTTCTTTATATATATATACACAAAAGAATTAGGGGCTGGTGCTGTGGTGCAGCAGGTTAAAGCCACAGCCTGCAGTACCAGCATCTCATGTGGGCACCTGTTCAAGTACTGGCTGCTCCACTTCTGATCCAGATCCCTGCTAATATACCTGGAAAATCAGCAGAAAATGGTCCACATACTGGGCCCTGCACCCACTTGGGTGACCCAGAAGAAGTTCCTGGCCCTTGACTTTGGCCTGGCCCAGCCAGGTCATTGCAGCCATTTGGGGAGTGAACCAGCAAATGGAAAATCGATTCTCTCCCCCCCCCCTTTCTCTCTCTCTGTCTCTAACTCTGCCTTTCAAATAAATAAATAAATCTTTAAAAATAAGAATTAGAAAGTGGACGCAAATTCTATGATCCAAATAAATCAGCTCACTCTCATTCATTAAAGGGTTTATTTCTAGAGCCTTTCTGAGTGTGCTGAGAATATTACTGGAGAGAAGCCACTATACTATCTATCAGATTGTTGACTGAACAATAGAGCTTCTTCTAGTGATATTGTTGTTGTTCTAGTAACATTCATACTGTAGAAGGGATGAACCTTCACTCCGCGTCTGGTACTATGCTAGCCACTCTCCATGCAATAATATATTCAACTTGCACAAGGGCCCTGTGCATATTTCCACTTTACAGTAAAGGAAACTCACATACAGGGAACCAGCCTTAGGGTAACTCCTGTCAGACACAAAACTGAAGATTGTTCTATCAGATAGCAAGATCGATAGACCCAAAAACATCAGATATTTGAAAATCTTTTCTCCCCAACTATAGAAATTCACTATTTTAATAAACAGCTCCCAATTTTGTTTTTTAAAGCACATTCTGCTCCCAGAATAAGAGAAAAGTTCTTGTGCAGGCACCCACAAGACAAACATAGTCATTTATTATAAACTGTATGGCATACAGTATATATTGCTGCCATGTCTCTAGATACCATATCAACTTAGGGCAAGACTTGTGGCTTTAAAATACTAGCTGTAGGTCCACATGACAAATAGCCTTGCCGATTATTTTGAGTATTTTTGGCTGAACTGCTTGTCAGTCTGATTAGCTCAGCATTGGCTTGACCGTGTGAAGTGGCGAAAGAAGTCCATCTGGCAGGAGGAAAAGGATCAGCCTTGTGAGTTGCTGATTCTCCATTGTTAGCACTGGATTAAAACCAATCCCTTTAACTACTTACTTCATGAGAGTTTTTTTTTTTTTTTTTAATTATTTCCACCAAACCATTTGTAAGCACACTGGACACATCTAGAGACCAACATGGGTGTCAGTCTCCCCAGTGCTCTCCAGCCACCCTCTCCACATTGCAACCCCCCTCCCAGTCTATCCTTGGAGTCACGCAGTGGTTTGCTTTGCAGGCCCCAGTGAGGGCAACCGTGCCAACCAGCATCTTAGGTAATTAGTGAAGTTTGATTTCCTTCTTTTTTGTTTTCTAATAAACATTCCAGTGCTTCATCTGACTCTCCCTCAGCGTCGCTGGCCCCTACTTTGGATACCAATGCTCTAGCAAAAATCTGCAGTCGGCAAAGAGGCATAAACACTGCCTTCAGTGCAATGCCTTCTGGATGGGTTTTCACTGACTGCCCAAGTTATGTTTGCCTAGCATCTCTGAACAGAATAAAAGATAGGGGTAATATTAGACAATGGTCTGGAAGCCCCAGTCATGTCACTTACCACCAAGTTACTTCATCCTTTGGAGTCTCAGCGCTTTACAATTGTGAGGACTGGTTGAGCGACCTTTAACAAAACGTTTAGTTCTGGAGGCATAAAGTCAGCATGACAAGTATCAGCTGAATTACTACCAAATTTTTGATGCTAAAAAATATTTCAGTGGGCAGTCTCTCATGGGAAAGTACTGTCCCATGAATTAGGAAAGACATACCATATCTCCATAGGCAAAGGCTTATTATAACAATAGAAGGATACTTCAAAAATCTGTGGAAAAAATAGAATTGAAAAGTAAGTTTATTTTGCTGCAAAAATTTTTGAAATCCAAGCATTGGTTTTTCCAAAATATGCATTTTTCCATAAATTGTCTGAAGATGTCTCTTAAGCCGGGATTTCAAAAATTTTTGCACCAAAAGGAAGTTATTTTTTAGTCCATTTTCCATGGAATTTTTGAAGCCCCTTCATATATAATTATACCAATTAAAGTCCTACACCTGAGTCCCAACCTTTGACCTGGCTTCATAACAAACAAATTCAAACAATAATGCTTTGATTTTCTTAGAAACTAAGCAATAATCCAGAAAACATACTGTTTTCTTCTGGTTAAAATAAATCACTGATCCCCAAACCAGCAGCATCAGCATCACAAGGGAGCACTGTTTTGTTTTCTTATTTCATACTTTTTTAATTAATTAATTTTTCAGGAATACAAATTTCATATGTACAACTTTAGGAATATAGTTATTCTTCCCACCATACCTGCCATCCCACCCATACCCGCCATCCCACCCATACCCCCACCCCTCCTCCTCCTCCCTCTCCCCTTCTCAGCCCCATTCTCCACTAAGATTCATTTTCAATTAACTTTGTACACGGAAGACCAACTCCATACTAAGTAAAGATTTCAATAATTTGCACACACACAAAACCACTGAGAACAAGTATCACAGTTAACTCTCATAATACAGCTCATTAAAGACAGAGGTCCTGCATGGGGAGTTAGTGCACAGTGACTCTTATTGTTAATTTAACAATTAACACTCTATGTATGATGTCAGTGACCACCCGAGGGTCTTGACATGAGCTGCCTAGGCTATGGAATATGGAAGCCTTTTGAATCCACAAACTCCATCAATATTTAGACAGGGCCATAAGCAAAGTGGAAGTTCTCTCCTCCCTTTAGAGAAAAGTACATCCTCCTACGATGGCCACTTCTTTCCACTGGGATCTTACAGAGATCCTTTATGTAGAATTTTTTTTTTGCCACAGTGCCTTGGCTTTCCATGCCTGAAATGGGGAGCATGGTTAAAAATGCATTGTGGCATAGCTGGTAAAGTCCCCACCTGCAACACCAGCATCCAATATGAGTGCCCATTCAAGTTTGGATTGCTCCACTTCCAATCCAGCTCCCTGAAAGGCACCTGGGAAAGCAGCGGGAGATGACACAAATGCTTGGGCCTCTGCACTCATGCGGGCCACCAGCAAGAGGTTCCTGGCTCCTGCCTTCTGTCTGGCCCAGCCCTAGCCTTTGTGGCCATTTGGGAAGTGAACCAGCAGATGGAAGATATCTTCCTCTCTGTCTCTCTTTCTCTCTCTGTAACTCTGCCTTTCAAATAAATAATAAATACATCTTGAAAAAAATGCAAATTATCAGCCCCAGCCCTCTTGAGTCACAAACTCCTGAGACGACTCTGTGTATTAACAAGCTCTGCAGGTGTCTCTGATACCTGCTAAAGTTTGAGAACTGGTAGTATGGATTGTTCCTGTCTTCTAAAAAGAGCAGGTGTTTGTTTTTCAGTCTCACTTATCAGCTGTATTAATTTTCACTATGTACTTCCACCTAATGAAGTGAACCCTTCCTTATGGACATTGAAATGTGAGGGCAATGATAAGGATAACCACGGGAGTTGAAATTGGTTTGATTTGTTAAAACTGCTCAAAGGTTTAACAGAAACACTTGGCTATAATTCAGGAATGTTATAAATTCAAGATTGTTGCTGTTCATGAGATAGATTTGCAAAGAAACTTGTATCCATAGGTTATAATATCCGCTGCAATTTTGTGCAATAAATAAAGTTCAATAGCTGTTCACGGTTCTGTTTTCTTGGTAATACATGTATGGCTGTCTCGCAGCTGTTCTTTGAATGAAGAAACAAAAACGCCCACTTCATTTTCTCAGTATTGCATTTGATAGTATTCAGCACTAAACAATTTACTCTTAATGACATAGCTGGGTAAGCAGCACTAGCAAGGGCAGCTGAGGTTTTGCCAGCACCGCCCTGCTCCTCTGCCTGCTGTAGCCCTGCCTCCCCCCCCACACACACTGCTGCAACCACTCCCCTTCCATGCACCACTCCCACCCCCTTTTCACACACTGCTCAAACCCCCTTTCTGTCCACCAGTCAAACCCTCTTCCTCTTCGCTTTTGTGGAAGACTACAGCTTTCTATGATTTGGCGACTCAGAACCAGCACCAGCTAGAAATATCCAATATGGTTGTAGACTGTGTCCCTGTGATGACATTTAGGTCACTATAATGTTATAATAAAATTACCATGACTGACACTCCCGATCCCATCAAGCACCTGACACCAAGACACTTCCAAGACTTCCAAAACAAGGCACCGTACTAAAGCCATGACCCAAATGCCACCCCCTGTGAATATTCAGTTAAGCCCTAGCCCCAGAAACAATCCTCTATGCCTTAAGATGGTATGAAAGGACAGCCTGGGTTGGCGCTGTGGTGCAGCAGACAAAGCTGCCTCCCACAACGCAGGCATCCCGTATACACAGGTTTGTGTGCAGGCTGCTCCGCTTCCAGTCCAGCTCCCAGATAATGGCCTGGGAAAGCAGCGGGTGATGGGCCCTGTGTTTGGGCCCTTATACCCACGTGACATGGGAGACCCGGAAGTGGCTCCAGGTTCCTATCTAATGTCTGGCCCACCACTGGCCTTTGTGGCTACCTGGGGAGTGAATCAACAGTTCGAAGATCTCTTTCTCTGTCTCGCCCTCCCTCTCTCTGTAACTCTTTCTTTCTTTTTTAAAGATTTATTTTTATTTATTTGAAAGGCAGAGTTACAGAGAGGCAGAGGGAGAGAGAGAGATCTTCCATCTGCTGGTTCACTCCTCAAATGACTGCAACGGCCAGAGCTGAGCCACTCTGAAGCCAGGAGCTTTTTCTGGGTCTCCCACGTGGGTGCAGGGGCCCAAGGACTTGGGCCATCTTCTACTGCTTTCCCAGGCCATAACAGAGAGCTGGATTGGAAGTGGAGGAGCAGGGACTAGAACTGGCACCTCTGTGGGATGCCAACACAGCAGGTGGCGGCTTTACCAGCTACGCCATAGTGCCAGCCCCTGTAACTCTTTCAAATAAATAAATCTTAAAAAAAAAAAAAAAAAAAAAGGAGGGGCTGAACCTTGTTGATTGCAGCTTATTTTCTCACAAGCTCTCCCACACTCATTCCTGAGTGGATACGTTCACTTTAAATAAATCTTGCCTCTCCCTCACCCTTACCTGTGTAGCTCTTCCTTGAATCCTTTCTCATGTGGAGGAGACAAGACACCGGACCCAGGGCCACCCCACCGCATTATTGTCATTTTTTATTTTACCAGTCAATTTTAACTCCCTGAACGTCATAGCTCTGTGTTGTTTTTCTTTAATTTGTCTCCTTTTCCTGGATTTTGTCCAATCTATAAAGATATCAGTAGCTCTGTAAAGGCAAATCCATACCTGATCTTAAACAAGCCATTTAATAAAACAGTGAGAGCCAGTTGAATCACATTGTCCCAGAAAGGAGGACTTGCACACTTTTCAATTACAGAAACAGGCTTCTGTCTAGATCATTCTGAATAATGTTCTAGTTACTGATTAAACTTAAGTGTACATATTGACAGGTGTTACCAGAGCTGGGTGTCCTACAAGACACTTCCCCTAACGCACACGACCCTTCCTTTGTATGAGCTATTAGTGACGGGCTGCACTATCATTTTCCACATGGTCTGGGTTCTACTGGCAGAGATTTTTGCCCACTCACATGATTTTACTTATAAGGCAGAAAATGGGCAATTGCCAGGCATAGATGGCCTTTCAGTATTAGGATTGACAGATGAAATGTTGCAATACATTTGCGAAATTTGATGAAAGAAGGAAAGAACATTCTCAGATAATAAAGTATGGCCCAACTCCAGAGAGCCAGCTGTGAACTTGATTCTCTAAAAATGATTTCCATGGTCCAATTGCACTGTCTCTACAATTTTCCTCTTATACATCAGTCTGGATCTAGATTACATATATAAGATTTATTTAGTATTTGTTATTCATTTTGATTTATTATTACACTATTTGGACTCAACTTTCTCCACAATGTCTTCCATGAAAAATGATGTAACATTTATTGCACTTATTATACTTAATGATAAACCTTTCAGTATATTCACAAATGTAAAAAAAAGATCAAAATAGCACATATTTAATTTAATGCAACACATGATTTTACTTTAAGAGGTTTTACATGCATAAAAATCCTCAAGATTTTGACCTTTATTTAGGGCAACTTACTTTCAGCAGAAGAGTAATTTGAATCAATTCCTTTTCCTTTTAGATTATATTGGGGTCAAAATTCTTATGTGATCCTCATGTTTATTCGTGGGACATGACAAAGACAAAAATCTAACCACTAATTCCACACAAAAGACTTAGATAACTGTTTCTTATTTAATCATCTCTTATGTAAGATTTTGATGTTTTATTTCTCCTATCAAAGGAAAAAAGTTTATAAAATCTTATCGCAAAACAACTTTTTGGGGGTCAGACAAGTGCTTCTCAATGGAATGGAATGCCTTTATCGATTTAAAATGCCTTCCAAATCCCAGTCATGCAGTCCCCAGTGGGGATGGATTATAAGGGTTAACATATTTTTTCAAGTTAATCAAGACTCATTTTGGACTAACTCAATTCTTTCCCCCCAATTTAATGCTTCTATTTTTCACCAGTGACCTGAAAACATTTGATTTCATAGATGCCAACACAGACAAAAAACCCAAAACACCAAAGAGGACATTTTCATGGCCAGGGCAATTTGTTCATCTTGTTTAAGCTGTTGGTAAAATTCACATTTTCACTCCAAATTGTATACTTGTGAAATTTAGTCATTTTATTAAGATTGCCATGAAATGACTGAGTTTATTTTCTTGGCATACAGTTAAAAATAAAATTTTGGTGACTTCCTCCTATAATTTATTTTGAAACCTAAAAGCCTGACATTTTCATAAATCTTTTAAGAGTTTGGAAATGTGCTACCACGAAATTATCTAATTGTGTATTTAGTCCAGCCTACAAGCCAAAACAACCCATGGCATTAAAAACAAATGAATCTGAAGAAGTTTAATTCGGTGGAGGAGGCTTCCTAATATAAAACCAATATCAAATAGGAGATGTACCTTTGTATCTGACTGATAATGCAATTGTTATCCAGCAAAAAAAAAGAAATCACATTTTTAAAAGAAAATGAACTTTTCCCTATTTTTGTAACAAAAAAAGAACACTGCTTAAACTTCCCCCAGCCAAGAATGAGGACATCACCTTCGCATGGTCCTTCCCAGGGCAAGTTAGGCCAACTGAGAAAGAAGCGCTCAGTGCAGGGAGCTGAACGGGGGCGGCTGTGCGGACGAAGGAACAGTCTTCACTGAACAGAACACTCATCTATCCCGATGAACCACAGATGCAAAGTGCATCAGCTCAGAATGGACGAGACTTCATCCCAGTTCATCACATCTGAGAGTCCAGTTTGGGTTCAGTTTCTTTTTTATTTCCTCTTCCCCTGGGAAAGATGAGACTCTTCAGATTTTTGTAACTTTTAAATAAGTCAGGGTTAAGTTGTTAATTTACTTTATCTTGGAAAGCATTATGGATTTATCATTGTTAACCACTGGATTGGCTTTGTTTTTCTATACTATGAACCCTGATGTTCATGTCTCTTGCTCTCTAGAGAAAATGCCATTCTCCATGATTCCTATCTATTGTTACAATATTTTACAAATTCACCATTTTACAAATTCACTAAGCAATGGCAAAGTATTAAGCCCTGCTTACTCTGCTGGCAGCTGGCCCACTCTAATCACTGACCGCTAAACCTGCATTTGGTCACTAATGCACTAAAACATTGCTAATGACACAGAGGTATGACAAGATAAGACCAGTCCCATAATAAATGACTCCACAAAAGCAAAGTGGCAAAAGTAATTATAGAATCACATGGGCCGCCGGCCTTGAATTGTCATGGACATCCCATTCCATGTTCGGCTAAAACAGCTCAGAGATAACCTTAGGTTCTGCAGAAGCGGAGGTGGTATCTCAGATGTACTTCAACAGACGTGTGCTTCTGGTGGAGAACTAATTGTTCTATAGGAAAACATCTTCAATTTTTTTTTATTGCAAGATAAGCTCTTTTCCACTTTCAAGCTGTATTCTGAGTATACAATGAACCTTGCAAAAATTGGAATAAATGATTTTTAAATATTTTAACAATCTTGTACTAGATTAAAAGTTAAGTGTATTAAATACCACTAAGCATCACCAACTTCCCATGCATTCCCATAAAACTTCCCAAGAAGTTTTAACTTATGCATGCTTTATAACATAATTATATACCAGGTGAGTGTATTTCAATATGTCAATGGTTTGTCTGGTATAATTACCACCAAAGAAAAACCTCATCAACAAGCTGAATAAAGATGCTAATGAGAATTGTGAACAAACATTTTAAAATATTTAATGTTATTTTAAATATTGTTTCAATACACATAGAACTTTGTAGGCAGAATAATAAAACTAGACTATAATTCTGTAAGACTGGACGTGGAAAACAGAAAATTTATTTTTCAACCCAGCAAGAGAAAGATTGCTTTACTGAGGCAACAGCAGAACAGCCCGGTCGCTCCACCATACACTTGAGCCATGGACTCCAGCCCCTGGTGCTGTCACTTTTACCCAGATGAATATTTTTCTCCACAGCCTGTTATTAGACTGTGTTGAGGTGATGATAAACCTGAGAATTTAGGCACATACATCAATACGTTCCTTGATGGAAGGAAAAAAAGAGCTGAAATAATCACAAATTCTAAATAGACTTACTGCTATGATAATCTCTACAGCAGATGCAACACTTCAAAGTATTGCCAAACAGTAACCATTTGCTTGAATTCTGGGTCTAAAATAGCATCATCCTAATCTTATCAATTTGAGACTGAAAAAAAAAAAAACACAGACGTATTTGCTCTTGCTGGATACGCAATTCCAGTTACTGGTTTATGACTGAAAAACAATAAATTTTGTTTTTTGATAAGCTGAAATTAAGAGTAAGTGGCAAATGAGACATAGTATCATTGCAATAAAAAATTTTTATAAAGGAAAGAAAAATATTGCAAGAGCCTGGGTGACAGGGGAAGGAAGATTTCTGAGATCCTAGGAAATCTTGACATAGGAAACTGAATGTGTATGCAGCATGCTTATGCATGTTAAAGACTATTTTACACACACCTCTACTTTATGGATTTACTAGAAAGAAAGTATCATGCTTATTCCTCATTTTGTCACAGATATCAGAAAAGTTAAAGACAAATTTAGAGCCTACAGCTGCAAATTGGCCAGACCTTTTAATGCTTGTGTGTGTGTGTTTTACTTAACATTACTTTGAATTTTTATATATATATATGTATATATATAAACTTATTTTATACTTGTTGCTAAACTTCTTCAGATTCTTCAAAGCGGGGATACATGCCATATTTCATTGAATCAAAGTTACTTTTTATCGCAAGATGTACCATTTATCTATATGCCACTGGCAAGTGCAGGACCAACAAGGAACTCACTGCCCAGTGGATTTTGGCAACTCCTTGATTATAGGACACACTCTGATTTTAGAGATTAAACTGAAAACTTTGAACCAGTGAAATACAGCAGTGTTATTCTCATTGATATATTTGACTTCTTGACATTTGATTTCATACTAGGCTTTGAAGGGCAAGGCCAAGAACTCAAATTGTGGAGATGGGTCAAACATTCATTAGCCATCATCCTGTCTACTTTCTTGTTTTACAGATGGAAAAAAAAAAAAAAAACATGCAGGAGAAAAGGACAGTCTGAATCGTCAAGATTCATCTCGCTGCTGCAACTTGAAGGCTCACGTGACAGCATAATGTGCACATCAGTGACCCAGACAACAAGAGTTTTTTATCATAGATGTATATAATCACTAAAACTAAGCCTAAACTCACACAGCTGTTCTTTTTTCCATCAAGAGACACCAACCAGATACTCTTTTATATCTTATTTTTGTCTGTAAAATATAAGCTATTTTCATCTTAAATATTTCAATGAGTATTGAAGAGTTCCTACCATGAGCAGATTCTGTTCTTTCAATGCAACATTTATGCAGAAAGTGGAAAAATCCATCTCATATATGTGATGTGGTGAAAATTTGGCTCTTTGGGTTTTCACACCTAAAATAGATAAATTTTACAAAGACTTTGTAAAACCCTGCTATGAATGAAGGATGAAAGTCCTGAGGTTCACAGCGCTGTGTGTGGATTGATGAAATTGAGTCAATGAGTGGGAGTTTCTAATTCTTGTTAAATGGGGAATATGAAAAGGTTCCCACTGCTTACCTCTTAAGGCTAAGATACATTATCTTGATCTTTTTAACATTTCTAATTGAATAATAAACCTTAAAAAAGCATCTACAGCCTCAAGTGTTACTCCAGTCACAGTAGAGACAAACCGACAACTTAACTCTCAGTAAATGTATGTATGTATGCATATACATACTTATATAATTATACATATAGAGGCTTTTCAAAAAGTTCATGGAAAATAGAATTAAAAGATGTTTATTTTGGTGCAAAAATTTGTGAAATATATTCATTTTTTAAAAATAATATGCATTTCATGAACTTTTTTGAAGACACCACACACACAATTTGAAAGAACTCCAGAGTGAAGTTTTTAAAATCTGGTGGTAAGATAATTGGTGATATGAATAGTTGGAAGTTAACAGTGTCTTTGCCTGAGCACACAACATTTAAACGTTAATGATGGTAGAAAGCTAATTAGTAAAATTTAATTAGATGTATGAAAAATGGTGTAATGAGAAGAGTTCAAGTATATTGAATTTTTAATCTAAACCCAAACTCTGAAGTGGAAAACCAACTAAAGCCAATCATTGTAAAAGGTAGACTGACACATTCTAAAGACTGTCCTATTAACACAGAGAACGAATTGGTGTGTCTAAAATTAAATACAGTAATATATTCTCTTGTGCCTTAAAAAAAAATCACAGATGTAAAATGCAATTATCTAAATTGCTTGAAGACAAAATTTTGAAATGGAAGAGCAGACAAATATATATGGGAAATAGTCCCGTGGAAAATAGTTTGAACGATGAATTAAATGTTACTACATACAGATAAGCATCCCCAGCAAGATATCAGCAGGCCAGAGAAACCTAGAGAGACACAAAGGTAAGAGGAGACGTGTCAGGGATAGCGCCCAGTGTCACTGATCTGATACCAGGGCAAAATGATACGGGAGTCAGGAAGGTCAGGGCTATTTCAGGGCATATACGTTACAGAAAAGTCGATAGTTACCTCTTTGTGCACAGGATAGTGAAACCACACCCTGAGCTTGGAGGGCAAAGGTCACAATCGTGGCTGCACAGTGCCAGCACTTTGAGAATTTTAAAATCCCCAGGCCTGGGCCCAGCCACCAAGGCTTCCAGTTCAGCAGATCTGGTGTGGAGTCTGATGAGGAGGATGTTTTAAACGTGTCCCCGGTCTAGAAAGATCTTGGAGAACTTGTTTTCCTTGCCGTTAATTGGTTCTGGCTTCTGCCAATTGGCAGGTTTGTCTCGCTTGGAAGTGTATGTAACTTCTTGTTCTCCCGTGATAGCCTTTAAAGTAGAAATATGATGTTGGCACACAATGGAAGTCAGACACAGTATCAGATTTTGAGTAGATCAGAGTTGTGTTATCTTAGGCACCACCATCAAGTGCACAGTGTTTTTCAGTGCCTTCTCTGCACTGTGGACAATTATGACAAGTGCCGAGCCTTGGAAAAGCATGGCTTTATGATGTCTTGGCAGGGGCCGCCTTCTCACAGTCAAATCACAGCAACACGAGGAGCTTAAAGACACTGGGGACTTAAAACAGGATGTACTCAAACCTGCGCTGTATCTGTCAGTGCTCTCGGCAGCACAGCTGAAGAATTCCTAACAGGCTGCTCTCTGGGGAAAAAAAAATGAGCCTGCTTGAGGCTGCACTCTTGGTACATGGCCCCCAAGCACACTTCCGGGTGGTTCTGCGAGAACCCCAATGCTCTTTGGCACGGACCGGCGCCTGCACCAGTACCGGCCTCGGTGCCGGCGGCCAGACGCCATGGCTTCGCTCTACCACCACGTCTGCCGCAGCCTCCCACAGCGGAATGGAGTCTTTGTATCCGGGCTTCTGGGGTCTCTGCCTTCTGAATCCAAACCAGTGAGGCCGGGTCCCATGCCTGCTCCCGGCTCTCCGAGTGGCTGGCAGAACCCACACGGGCACCTTCCCCCTCCCTAGTGCGACATTCTGCTTCCCACTAAATCTCACAAGGTGGTGGGAATTCTTCAAAGGGGTTTTGTTCACGGAGAAGCCAGAAAAGAATTATAAATAACCACCACAAGAAGCTTTTCCTGAGATCAAGCAGCGCAATGGGAAATCATTTGCTCTGTCTTAGCCGTCTAAGTCTATAGTTTGCTGTGTTTGAGATGAGGCCTAACTTCAGGCTTCCATGTTCGTTTCAATCTGTGTTGGATTCATCAGTCTCTCGGGCATGCAAGTATTTTAGTAAGTGCTAAAGCAAAGTTGCTCAACTCATACAGGCCTACTGAGCTCTTACGCTGGTCCCCCATACTGTATGGTATGTTTCTCTAAAATTTGCCAAGTTTGAGAATGTATTACATAGGGAAAAATATCAATGCATCTTCATTACATTTGGAACATGAAATAATCCATGCCTGTTACCACACTCTGAACACTCATGCTAAGTTTTCCATTTTAGGTCAGGAGTTGATCACAGTTTTAGAGGCATGGATGTCAAATATATCCCAGGAAACCATGAGGCATAAGATCATTTTGTGGCCCTGAGATGTTACCTTAACCGTGAAAAAAACCTCTGTGCTGGTTCAAAGATACCTCTGAAATTTCTTCTCCCTGCCTGTGATGGTTTGATTATTTCAAAAACGTTTTCTGGTCCTGTAAATTCCAGCCGCTCCTGCCATTTGTCGGCAGACGCTTTGAAAGGAGTGGTTAATATATTCTTTTTCAGGAACAACTGAATGGTGTGATTTCAAACATATATAGTCACTGTTTAGTAACCCAGCCTTGTTCTGACAGGTTAACTCAAATCTCCTCTTAGGATATTTTGGGTTATTATCTCAAATACAAAAATCAACTAAAGCTCTCTCAAAGTCATTTCTTTCAAAGAGTAGTTTTTTTTTTTTTTCCTCATGAGAAGGAAGGAAATCATATTTACCCAACAGCAAACATTGAGTCCCAAGCAGAAAAAAAATATACAGTAGATAAACCCAGGGTACGGTTAACAGAAATCATTTTGGGGCAGGAACTCCATAAACCCTCAAACTGCCTTCCTTGTGCAAAACTCTAAAATTCCTTTTGGGGAAAAAGAAACAAGAGTCAGATTATTTTTGAAATACAAAGTGCATTTCTAAGTGTGAAATGTTCTGGCTTTAAGCAAAGAGTGATCACAAACAGTACTTTTATGAGTAACCAGATTCTACAGATTCCATGCATTTTTCTGAGGAGCTGTGCATAGTTTTCAACAGAATCATAAAGCGATGCTGCTCAAAAAAAGTTAAGAAATAGTGCACCAGAGAGTGAAATAGAATGGTCTTTCCCTGTTCCAAGGGTGGGCTCTTCACTTACCACCACCCAACTATCTAAGTCAAACGATGAAAGATAAAGTCGATTTCCACACTTAAATTTCTCTGGAGAGCTATTTTTCATATTTCTTAGATGTGAGTACACAGACTACATTATCTTAAAGGGATTTCTTCTAAGAGACTGAATAACTCTCCCATTCCTTCCAAAGCAGCGTGTGCAGAGCAGGGACCCGACTGGGTGTTGAAAGAGCACCTTAGCCCCACCCACAGGCTGCACCACCACAGCGGGCAGACGGGGGAACATTCAGGGAGCAGTGGGAGGCAGGGTCATGTAGAGAGGAAGGTGGAGGAACCAAGATAGTCAAGGTATTCGATGATATTTTTAGAAACTCTAAAATGCTACTTGACAGTTTAAAAGTCCAAAAGTACGACACTCTCTTCTGATATTTTCATTGTGTTTTCAAAAAATTCAAAAGATACAGCTGACATTAGATGTGGTTAAATGATTCTTTCAAAAACTGTAAAAATATCCATATGTTGTCATTCAGATAACTCAGTCCTCAACAGGATGTGATTATAAAAATAATTCATTACTGAATTAACCCCTAGCTCGTTTGTCAGCAATGAGTCCCCCTGGGGGTCCCCTGTGACTGTAGGGGTCCCTGCAGTGCCAGGGGACCTTGCCTATGAGGCCACTGCTGCAGTACTTCCCTGGACAGCGCGCCAGGACATGCTCCATAAAGACAGAGACTCGAGATCTGGAGAATCTTATGCATAAATCTCCCTCGCGAGAGAGGATGTGCACACTCCTACAGAATAGGTCCCGAGAAGGCCAATTTCAAAAGTTCTAGTGGCCCTCAGTCCAAGGCCCCTTAACTCCTAACTTGGAAAAGGAAGACTTCATGTTTGGAGGATACACTGAATTCCCATGGTAGCATTTCTATGGCTTCTATGACTCTGAACTTGCAGAGAGAATGGAGCGAATATCAGTTGCTGTACGTGAGGCATGATCAGACCAAGGCGAGACAAGTTTAAATTACTAGGTCAACGTCACTCAGGATGTTTGTGACAAAGGTGGGACCCCGGGTCAATGCTCCTTCTGTTACCCTCTGCTCTGGATCTCCCAAGCAGCCACAAGGGGCTAGGGCAGTCCCATCTTACCTGCCAACCAAACATAGAAACCCACCTCGCCGTTAAGAAGGGCAACCGCAGGGACCTCCGTCACAGGATTGCTCCCAAATCCCAGGCCCAAGCATCCTCCCCTAATGCTCAGCAGGACTCTCGCTGCCTCCTTTCACCAACTCACATCCAAATGAGGTGTCAGCCTTTCTCAGCTCACACCAATTAGTGATGACAAATCTCCTGAAATATTCAAGAGTGAAATTTAATGATTTGGAGCAATAAAATATGTGCAAATCTTATATTTAAGGTTTGTAAGATTTTTTAAAACTTTTGCAAGTGTAAAATTACTCATTAGCTGATGGAACAGGAAATAACATCAGTTATAATTTTATTTGCTCACAAAATCATTAGGTTTCATTAGAGTTCAAATAAACCACTCAGTATGCTAATTGAATTTACATGTAAATTTATTATATTTTCACATAAAGGGAACATGATATTGCCAAACTTTAAACAGTGTAACTGGTTTTAATATTAGTTTTTGAGAAGCAGGCAAACTCTTGGAAATAAATGAAACACTACATGTTGGTAAAACAGAAGATTTTTGTAGTTTCTGGGCAGAATCCTCCAGTGAAAGATGGAAGAAAGATTATACTTTAAAAAAAAAAAAAAAAAAAAAAAAAAACACTTCAAGGGGGGAAAATCCAGAAAAAAAAATAAGCAACAATAAAACATAATCTCTTTGACATATGAAGCTGTTCCCACAGGCAATTATAGCCAATTCACTTCTGTTGTCCAGAAACTTCTAGAAGCCATTCTGACCCCCCCCCCACACCACCCCAGAGTTTCCTTTGCCTCCTCTGTCCCACTTGAGACAAGTTTCTTTGTGTCTATTTATAGCACAACTCACTTTCTCCCACCTGAGGTAGAATTGTGTGGATGTGCCTAGCACAGATTCAGGAAAGAGCTCTCCCCTTCCCCGGCCACATCATGTAAACCCCACACGCTTTGTACTTCCCTAGCAATGCCACGTAGGATCCCAGGAAACACTGGCCAGTGCCCACGACTTCCTCCCCAATCTCCAGCCTAAACCAGCCAACAGCACCATTGCCTGGGTTCTGTTTTTTCTCCTGGGTTCTTTACCTCCCTTTGCTTAAGCCCTCTCCCCTCCTCAATTGCCTGCTGTACTTCAACACAAGTCGTCTTAAAACACAGTTGATTGGGGACAGCACTGTGGCGAAGTAGGCTAAGCCTCCTCCTGCATGGCCAGCATCCCATATGGGTGCTCGTTTGTGTCTCAGCTGCTCCTCTTTTGATCCACCTTTCTGCTTATGGCCTGGGATTGCAGCGGAAAGATGGCCCAAGTGCTTAGGCCCTGCACCCACGTGGGAGACCCAGAAGAAGCTCCTGGCTTCAGCCCCTCTCCAGCTGTTGCGGCCATTTGAGGGGTGAACCAGCAGATGGAAGACCCCTCTCTCTGTCTGTTACTCTGCCCCTCAAATAAATAAAATCTTTTTAAAAAAGTTGATCAACCAACCAAATGCCTAAGAATAATCTATACACTTGTACAGGACTCCTTCTCCACCATTGCGTTCATCCATGCCACAGATTTTTACTAAAAGCCTCTCTGACCTAGAGAGCTCAGTCCAGCAGAGAAGTCCATGTACAAAATAAACTGCAGTCCTCAGAGTGCACACAGCACCAGCTACTGAAGAAATTTGGAGAAAAACAGCCGCTGAATCTACTGGATGAGTTAGGGAAATTTTCAGAGGTGGCCTCATCGTTGGCTCCTGAAATGTGGACAAAGGGATAAGGCGATCGTGTATTTTAATTGGGATAAATGGAATGACCATTTTCACGTGCATGCCGGTAGAGCTGTGGAGCTGCAAATGCAGTCAACTTCAAAATCTACATGAGAGAAATTCGTACTTTCTGACCCAATGGACGGACATCAATCAGCCTTTGGCGTCCTCCCACCTGACCTCACTGTCCTGTCAGGCCCCTCTCCACACCTTCACCGACAGTGATTTAAATGGGTTTTCCCTTCCCCAGAGTTTGCAGACCTGCCTGTTAACATCCCCTTCTTCACACCTGATAAATGAGCCAGCAATTCCTTCTCATGGAAATACAGCTGTAAAGGTTCATAAATAATAAATTAAAATTTGCAGTTGCCATCAAGGTTGAAATAGTCCAAAGACTGACTATTGGCAGAGCACTTAGTGCTAGCTTATGAGGGAATATGGTTCCACCACTTTTGTTCTCATTATTGCCAGGGGGCATTTTCCAAGTGACACCTAAAGCACAGTGCCCAAATGGCTGGCATGATGTAGGCCTATTAGCTCACTATAGTGTGGAGGGTTTAATCCACGGTTCCCAGTGTTCCTAGTCTCCCTCAAAAATAAAAGATTAAAGCATGGACCAAATCTCTGCTCCTCCTCTTTATGTCCCTCCCAGGCTTTGTGAGGAAGCCGTCCCCCCTCTCTGCGTGATTACCGCACATTGCCACTGTGAGATTTCCCTGGGACTACTCCAGTCTTCCTCTGCTCGTCGTGTCTGTTGATGATCTCTCAAGACTCCTAATCCTGAGTCAAATATTCCCATCCAGGTTCAATATTTCATACTGCACTAATGTGCTGGTCCTGTGTACGCTTCTTCTCAAAGCCTCATCTTGCTCTGTGATGGATGCATGTATCAATCAAATGCTCCCTGCTCTGTTCTAAGCACTGAGTTGGCACCGTGTCTGCCTTCAAGGAATTCACAATCCTGTATGGAAACCAGGAAGGAATCCAGCAGTTACCAACAAACATCAACATATTATTAGAAGGTAAACCAGCACACAGTTGGGATCCTGTCACCCTATGAACCAAGCCAAAGAAAATGTCCTGGATAACATTCCACTGGGTGGGGCCCAGAGGTCAAGGCTCAGTT